TTTTTTTTTTTTTTGGTTTTTCGAGACAGGGTTTCTCTGTATAGCCCTGGCTGTCCTGGAACTCACTCTGTAGACCAGGCTGGCCTCGAACTCAGAAATCCGCCTGCCTCTGCCTCCCAAGTGCTGGGATTAAAGGCGTGCACCACCACTGCCTGACTTCTCTCACACCTTCTCAAAAAACCTCCTTAAAGAGTCTAGAGAGGTGGCCCAGTGGTTTAGAGCACTGACTGTTCTTCCAGAGGACCTGAGTTCAATTCCCAGCCACCAGTTCCAGGGGATCTGACACCCTCACACAGACACACATGCAGGCAAAACATCAGTGCATATAAAATAAGGGCTGGAGAGATGGCTCAGTGGTTAAGAGCACTGACTGCTCTTTCAGGGGTCCTGAGTTCAAGTCCCAGTAACCACATGGTGGCTCACAACCATCTGTAATGAGATCCGATGCCCTCTTCTGGTGCATCTGAACGCAGTGACAGTGTACTCATACATAAATAAATAAATGTTTAAATGAAAATTATTTTAAAAATGCACATAAAATAAAAATAAATTATCCCTTCAATGCACATAAAATAAAAATAAGTAAATAATTGTCTCTTTTACTGCCTACACCTCTCTGTATCAGTCCTCCTGACTCCCTCTTACACTCTATGGTTTCTTCTTAATAATCCTATGTTCACTTCCTGTCAGCTGGTTGCTCGCTCTGCCTCTTGACCTATGGTTGACTTTATTTAACCCTGTTTAGAATATTCAAGCAGAAAGTTCTTGGATTTAAGGTGTGTGCTAAGGCTAGGCCATACCATAACTAATAATTACGAGCTTTTCCAGTAAATAACACAATATCAATGTTTGAGGTGTGATCAAGTGTCCTGCAACATAGTTTTTATTACTCTGAAATTGGAGGGGCGGATGATGGCTGTGGAGCACCAGAAAGGTGGGCAGGAAGGCAAGCAATGGAACATGGGAAAATACATGAGAATATAGGAGAATATAGAATATACATAGACCATGGAGTGTGCCCCTGGCACAGGATGTCCCATCCTGGCATCCGTAGCATGAGAGGCCAGCCGACATCCCTGCTATCGGGATCTGGCTGAGAACCTAATCCATCCCGTGAGTGCCCAGCTTAGAGAGCTAGTGGGCATGGTTGGTGTGAATCCCAGGATGACTGTCACCAAGTGACCCCTTCGTGGTCACCATAATTCTAAGGCGCTCAGAGAGGCAGCAGTGGCCAATGCTGGAGATAGAAGAGCTCACAGAACCAGACTCCTGGGACTGGCTGCCAATCACCCAACCCCAACTCCTCCCACATTCTACAGGGAGGGGAATGTGTGTATCTTTCCTCACCTTCTGTAGATTCCTACAGCCAGACCTTATCAGGCTGAGGATGGCTCCAGGAGTGCACATGAAGCACCAGAGGTCATTTCCTCTTTCCCCTGCTGTACATGTCCTTTATCTCCTAAGGCCAGGATAGGATGTAACCTCCCTGAGGTCAGAGGTGCAGTTATGGCATGCTTGCACATGGTGGTCCTTCATCAAAACTACTTCAGAACAGTAGAGCGCTTGCCTAGAGTCCTCCCCACCCTGTGAGGAAATGGCAACAGAGCAAGAACACCTGCCTGGAATCCCCCAGTGAGGGGCTGGGGCCGTGGCTCAGTGGTAGAGCCCCTGCCTAGAATCCCCCAGTGAGGGGC